TTACTGCATACTTCCCACCTCTCACAATGGAAAACTGTGGGCAATAAATCACTTGCTACCACAGTCCACTGCACACATAATCCCCTTTCATGGCCAATCATGATTACATGACCATGAAAAGGGGTGTGCCCAGTGGACTGTGGTCACAAATGCTGTAAGAAAGGGGAGATAATCAATAAGAAGGTAACGATGAAGTCAATACAGTGGAAAGGATAAACTTAATTGACACATTTAAAATATGAAAAATAACAAAAATAAAGTTAAAAATGGTAATTTCATGATTGAAAAACAAACAAACAAAACGACTGAGTTGGCAGCGTTATTGATTTCCTTATCACGTGACAGGATAAGCATTTCCTGGAAAAGTTTATAAACTTTAGGAGCTGTTTCTTTATACAAAATTGTACATTCAAATATAACATTCATTGAAAGAAATGGAATTCCTTAGGGATTGATAAACCCTTACATTGTATGTATGAAAATGGTTTCAATATCCTGTACCTTTGCCACATCTTGAAAATTAAACTGAAAATGTAGTCAGAAATTCAACGTTGTTTCCCGTATTTTGTTCTAATTGTTGAACAGACACTCCTTACCTTCCCTGACACTGGAGATGGATAGTAATCCAAAAACACTTGTATCCATTATGAAGGATACACTCAGACTGGGCTATTGAGAATAAAGACAAACTTACCTGGTTCTGATTAGTACTCACTCACACAGGTACATCACGTCACGAACGTGTACTATTGTTTATCCGGTGTTACTATAATTTACACTACGGTAATGGAATGCCCGATACGCAATACGGAAATGACGACACGAAAATACGACAAGAAAAACATGTGTATTACGAAGGGTGGACAGTCCTTAATGTAAGATTGATAATTATTTGGAATTTTTTAAAACTCGAACGAGGTATACTGACCAACAGTATTCTTCGTTCTCTCAAAGGGTCAGACTTTTATAAGAATAATTCTTATGTTAATAATTTGTTTCTATCTTGATGCATTGTTCGCACTTGTGTAAAGTCAACACTACTGCTTTATTGCTAGTATACGATATGGATTGAAACGTTAATTATTGTAAGCATTCTATTATAGACGGTAACTTTAAACTGTTCCGATACCCAATTACATTTAATAACTTTAAGAGTGGATGATGCCATTTACAGAAATATTGCCTTCCAAACTTTACGTCAATTTTGCAGCAATTTTTATAAATTTTGGATGAGCAAGATATTATTAAATTCCCATTGTCAAGTAGGTCAGTTACAAACGCTATTGTTGATAGTTAAAAACATCTATGTGTATCAGTGTTCAAAGAAGATGACGACAGCAAGCGATTTTATTTTAGTATATTTAGTATATATTATTCACTATCTATCCCTAACAATTATTGCAAATATATCTTTTTCAGTTTTCAGATTTCAGATTGTTAATAGATATCTAATTGAAGTCTGTGTTTGGCATTCACAAATTTTCTAGGGAAAGAAATCGAGTTCAAGGATGTGTTATTTACCAAACACTTGCACCTCACACAGAGTCAGCGCGTCTGTGTTGTAGTCGAGTTTGTTGATGAGTACAACCTGTCCTGCAGATTCAAAAGGGTAAGATCTGGTCTCTCCACTACCCAGAGGGTCTTTTTGAGTGTGAAAGTGGCTGCGATCATTCAAAGTGTTGACGGTCGAATTTGATAGGCAAGTTTCAAACTGCCGTAGTCTTTCAGCTTCAATATTAAAAATTAAAACATAAATTACATTATAAGTTCTTTTGACAAGAAGTTAGTTTATAAACGTCTCCATAACTGAGCCGCGCGTGAATTACCGATGAAGAATAAGATTTCTCGGGAGAGATTATTTACGTGTCAAACGAAAAATTCCTGAAAGTAACGCTTTTCTCTACATTTGTCATATATATCTTATGCCGGGATTTCTATTTTCGCTATAGTCGCTTTACGAATAAGAGCCGCGAATTCTTAACACCAGCGAAATATTGAGCAAACGAGTGGTTCTTTGGAATATATAACTCGGGTTTCGAATATTTTAGGATTATAATTTACTTAATCCTGAGCCACTTTTGTTTTGGAATATTGGTTCACCCTCGTTAAGTAAAGTGATAAACATGGAAAAAATAATTTGTTCATCTAACAGTTTCAGGATATATCAAACACACCTTGGTAGCGTGAAATTCGTCAGTTATTTCTTCCCACTGACATTTTGATATGGAGCCAAACGTACACTTTATTTACAACCATAAACAATAAAACGGAAACATATCATCAAACAAGGTATATTCCGTCTTTTCGTATTGCAGAGTTATCTGTTCTTTGGAACAGGTATTGATTGTTACGTAATTTGTTTGTGAGTGTTACGTTATACATTTTTGAGAAGATCACAAGAGCAGATAACTCTGCAATACGAAAAGACGGAATACTAAAACGCTCAACCCGGACTCGCATTGACTACATTCTGGAATACGACGACTTTAATTATTACAATTTTCACCCGGATACAACAAACAACTAGTAATTCATGGAACTGAAATAAAATGTGCATTTATTAAACATTGTATGGATTACTTTATGTATCACCTAAATACAAATATTGTTCTGTTTCCAAATGATTTTTTTATTCGTAATCGTCAAAGATTAACATACATCGAAAGACAATTGTATGAATCTGTTTGTTATATTTTTGCATCATTGTATAAATGAGCGATGATTTCCATCCAACTAAACAAGTATATATATATAATCTTTTTGATATAAAACGTTATACATGTAGCTCCCTCATTACATTTTCCTTATATTACGTGTTAATTGAAAGTGTTTGGGCAGTTTTTAAATGATTATGTTTGATTTAGTGATAAGAAAATGTCTATCATGCATGATGATTTAAAGCTTTAACCATAGACGATCATCGTACTTACCGACGTTTGGATAAGCGTCTTCATTTAGCCGATTTGTTATGTTAACCATGAGGAGTTTAGCTATGTAGCCAAGGTCTACTTTCCACCATCTTGGTCCGTACGATTCTGTGTGAGAGCAAGATCCACTATAGTAAAAAGAGTCCCTGTTACCATCAACAGCTCGCTCTGCTAATCCAGAATAATGATTGGATGATTGAGTAGCTGGCTTGTTCAATGCAATATTTTGAATCCGACAGTCTTCATCTAAAACAGTTATTTTGGAAGATAGTTAAAAGAGCGTCAATTCTCAGGTTGCCTAGAATGGAATATCGATAGGCTAAAGAAAATCACTGGGTACTTAAAATAAAAAGAAAACATCACGAAGGGTAGGACATCTTCACCACATATGACATTCTGGACGATATAACATATCTAACAAATATACGTTTTTATTAGTGGTGAAGTGATGCCTGGTCTGGTTATTTACCGTCATCGTGGTCACTTGGTAATATACACGTTTTACTGCTATCATAAATGAAAGACTTGTATCGTTTAAAATGAAATATAAAAACGTCAAGGCCAGTTTGGATTTAGAAATAAACACTTCTAATATAGACGCCATTTTCGCTTTACACTCTTTCATTAATCGTTCTTTAAAAAAGAAAAAAACGTCTCTAATGTTGTTTTATAGATTATACAAAAGCGTTTGTTTTTATAAACAGTCAGAATGTATGGTATAAAATGATAAGAGAAGGTGTAGGAGGTAAACTTCTTAAAGTGATCAGATCATTATATAAAAGTGTGAAATGTTGTGTTAAATATAATGGTATTCTCTCTGAATTTTTGATATTGAAAACGGATTATTTCAGGGGGAAATATTATCAGCCCTTTTGTTGCTATATATGTTAATAATTATGAAATGCATTTTTATCAGATAATTGACCATCTATTGAAATACAGGATATCAATATGTTTTACTTATGTATGCAAATGATATGGTGATTAATCTGAAACACCAGAGGGTTTGCAAACAATGTTAGACTCTCTTGCAAGTTATACCAAAAAACGAGATTTGACTGTAAATACTGGGAAAATAAAATTGTCGTGTTTAGAAATGGAGAGATATTAAGGGGAAATGAAATATGGTTTAACGAAGAAAATAATTTGGATGTTGTTGATCAATTCAATTACCTGGGTGTACTATTGAATTTTAATGGAAAATTTAGACAAACTCAAAAGCAAGCTGCTGACTATGGGGGAAAAGCACTGTTTGCATAATTAAATGTTTGTAAGAAAAATTATTTTAATATATAAATTCAATTGTCTGTTTTTGATACTTATGTTAACAGTGTGGAGCAGAAGTTTGGGACTTCCATGCCGCACCAGATATCGAAAAATTGCATGTGAGATTCTGCAAACAAATATTAGGATTACATAATAAAACTAGTAATTGTATGGTGTATTATGAACTTGGAAGATACTCCATGCAAATAGTTAGAAAATTATGTATATTCAAATATATGATAAAACTGAGAAATGTAGGAAATTGTGTTCTAAGGTCAATGACATTTGGTTAATGAGTATAAAACAAGAATTATACAGAATTGGTCTTGGAAATGTGTGGGAATCTTCCAGTTTAAATAATAACACTTTTCATATTATAAAAGAACGTCTACTCCTAAAGGAGCATTGTATCAATATGTGTGTAATTTTGATCACCAGTATTATTTATCAAAACCTGTATAAATATAAATTATTTAAAACAAATATATAAAATTCGAATGTCTGCACATATAATGGAACTGAAGGACAAAACAGATTGTGTACAGTATGTGACCTGAATGATGTCGAGTATGAGCTCCATTTCATTTTAAAATGTCCTTGCTATATTGATATAAGGTTGAAACTAATTAAGAAAGATTATGTAAGACATATACAAGCATGTATAAATTAATTCAACTACTTACTTGTGAGAATTTAACCGAAATAAGAAAACTTTGCAAGTATTTAATACAAGCAAACAAAAGGAGATCTGAGCTGATTGCTGGTTAGTGTTCACTCTCCAAAGTGTGTGTTTGTGTCCGTGTGTGTGTGTTTGTGTCATATTGTCTTTGTATTATGTTGTTCTGTATATATGTTATAACTGATAAGTCAACCGACTTAAAGTAATAAAGAACTTGAAACTTGAAGGAAGGTATATAAGTATGGGAGTTAGGATGGTTATCTAAGAGTAATATTAAAAGTATGTTAGTGGTATAGGTGTTGTAGGCAGGCGTAGGTATCGATGGTACCGGAGGTATATAGTTTTTGGAGGATACAGGTAGTGTAGCAGGTGAAGATGGTGTAGGAGGATAAAGTTGTCTATGAGAATATAGGTGATTTATGAGGGTACAACTGTGTTAGCGGGTATAGGTGCTGGATGAGGGTACAACTGTGTTAGCGGGTATAGGTGCTGGATGAGGGTACAACTGTGTTAGCGAGTATAGGTGATGTATGAGGTACAACTGTGTTAGATGGTATACGTGATGTATGATGGTTCAACGGTGTTAGATGGTAGAGGTGATGTATGAGGGTATAACAATGTTAGAGGGTATAGGTGATGAATAAGGGTACAACGGTGTTAGAGGGTTTAGGTGATGTATGAGGGTATAACGGTGTTAGAGGATATAGGTAATGTATTAGGATATAACAGTGTTAGAGGGTATAGGTGACGTATAAGGGTACAACGGTGTTAGAGGGTATAGGAGATGTATGAGGGAACAACAATGTTAGAGGGAATAGGTGATGTATAAGGTTACAACGGTGTTAGAGGGTATAGGAGATGTATGAGGGAACAACAATGTTAGAGGGAATAGGTGATGTATGAGGTACAACTGTGTTAGAGGGTATAGGAGATGTATGAGGGAACAACAATGTTAGAGGGTATAGGTGATGAATAAGGGTACAACGGTGTTCGAGGATATAGGTGATGTATGAGGTACAACTGTGTTAGAGTGTATACGTGATGTATGATGGTTCAACGGTGTTAGATGGTAGAGGTGATGTATGAGGGTACAACAATGTTAGAGGGTATAGGTGATGGATAAGGGTACAACGGTGTTAGAGGGTTTAGGTGATGTATGAGGGTATAACAATGTTAGAGGGTATAGGTGATTTATGAGGGTACAACTGTGTTAGCGGGTATAGGTGCTGGATGAGGGTACAACTGTGTTAAAGGGTATAGGTGATGTATAAGGGTACAACGGTGTTAGAGGATATAGGTGATGTATGAGGCTATAACGGTGTTAGAGGGTATAGGTGATGTATGAGGGTACAACTGTGTTAGCGAGTATAGGTGATGTATGAGGGTACAACTGTGTTAGAGGGTATATGTGATGTATGAGGGTAAAACTGTATTAGAGGGTATAAGTGGTGTTAAAGGGTAGGCGTAGTAGGAATATGTACAAACTATAGAGCCCCTGATTCACTGTAATTTCTGTAATACGCTGATTTGGTAAACATTTATCTGCGAATAGAAAGAAATCAATGTATTGGGGTTATTTTGACTCGTATTCGAAAGGATTAAAATGAATAACAATCATTTTAAGCTTTACAAATTGAACGTTTAACACCATAAGTTATTAAAACAATCAGTGATCGAGTCCTTGATAGCATAGACTGTACACTGTTCATAATGAAACGCGAATAAAACAAAACAATCTGTTGAAATATTTTGATCGGTTGTCCTTAAGGATTAACGCGAAACAAAAACTGTAGGTCACACAACTTGAACAATAACATCAATCGGCCGTTTGTCAGTGTTCATGGATCGTTTATAAATTGTTGACAAAATACATAATTTATTGTCATGTAACAAGCTTGGCTGGACTGATGTTTCTATTATTTACTAGTCGCTCGAGTCTTGTAATAGATATAGAAATTGGCAAATACCAGGGTAAGAAAATGGAAATAGAGTTTGTTATGTGTGTGTCTTAATTGATAAAAAAGATAAACTTCATATAGTTTTAAATGTCCATTTTTGCCGATTTACGCAGGTCCTATGCAAATCCTGGCAAAATATCTAAAAATTGCCAATAGAAAATGACAAAATGTATTGAAGAGTTTGTCAGTAATATATTGATATGCCCTTGTTATATACTACTTTTATTTCTTAGCAGTGCAAGATTATAAATGTTATGTTGCATTGTATATATATGCTATGTACAACTGATTAGCTGTATGCATGAACTGGAATTTGTTTCGGATACTGAATAATTGACTCTAATTGATAGCACACCCCAGCATCAATTACACGGGCCAGTGAACTATGAACCTGTGTTTTCAGTGGCCCGTACAATGTAAGTAAACTGTTATATTGTGGTTTTGTTGATTATCAGAAGGCGTTCGACTCCGTCGACCGCTGCAAACTATGGTATAAATTGTCTAAGCTTGGTGTTCGAGGGAAATTGTTAATTATTATTAAAGCTATGTATAAACATGTTAAATCATGTGTAATTACAAATGGCAAATGTTCTGATTTCTTTGTAAATAATATGGGCCTCGCTCAGGGTGAAATTATTTCCCCCATTATGTTTTCAATGTATGTGAATGATTTTGAAAATGACTTTGTATTAAATTGAATCAAAGAGTATGAGTTTGGAGAGCTTAGTCTCTTTCTATTAATGTATGCCGATGATTTAGTACTAATCGCTGAATCAGTACAAGATTTACAATGTATGTTAAATAATTTGTATGT